ACTCGTCCTCCGAGCTGTCCGCCAAACTGATCCGCAGGCTGGACATCAACGAGGGCAATGCTGCTTCTCGACCGACGCGCGTCTTCAACCCCTACACGGAGTTCAAGGAGTTTTCCCGCAAACAGATCAAGGACATGGAGGCGATGTTCAGACGGTAAGGCTAGAACTAACGCTGCTTTTGTTTGCCCGACATGTTCACCTGCAGTCTGGGGATTGGGACTGAGGGAGCGCGGCGGGCTGGAAGTTCACGATGAGATTACGGTGCTGCTGCTGACGGGCAGCCTGCAGGTGGACGCGCTGTCTGGTTGTCACTCACCGATGACCACGGGCCCGGTGCGGGGCCGCGTCACTGGCAGCTGCGTGAACTGAACGTGTTCTTTGTTTCGGGGTCAGAGACTGACGGACTGAGCTGCTGTGATCTGACAGCCGAGGTTGGACACTGGCACTGACGTGCATCCGTCTCCAGTGGAAAGGCTTCAGACTAATGATAGACACGAATCCCCCTTATTTCAATAAAAGGCCAAACTATATATCACTAATGGCACTGATTTTCCTCCATCTAATAATTACGTATTTACCCGTTTCTGACATGTTGAATTGTTTCGGGAGGTAATCTAAGGATTCCTCTAAATCATTAATCAGTGGATTATTAGTGTCCGAAAATGGTGAAAAATCCAGTGGTATAAAGTAACTAAGCACATTTACTCGAGTACTGTACTTATGTACAATTTTGAGCTATTTGTACTTGAGTATTTCCATTTTGTGCTGTTCATACTTGCACCTCACAACATTTTAGAGGTAAATATTGTACTTTTTCCTCCACTGCACTTATTTTGAGTTCCTTTTCAGAACCAGATTAATGAAAAAATACAGTATAATCATAAGACTTTATTAATCTTTGGAAGATTCACTTGTTATCCAGCAGTACTTCAAATTATAAACATGTAAGCTAGTTAAAACTAGCTCTCCCTTTACCAGCTGCAACATTAAAGTGATGAATACAATAATGCACAAACAATTATGATCCAAATACATTAATGTTAAATGTGCCATTCAGCATAATGAGAACTTTTAGTACTTTAAGTATGTTTGGATGCTACTACTGCATGACCTTTACTTGTAACAGTACTTTTACACTGTGCTATTGTTACTTTTGCTTAAGTAAAGTAAAAGATACTTCTTTCATCACTGGAAAAATCTCCTTAACAATTTTTTGAAGTACATGATGAATGTTTACCATTTTTATTTATCAGCTGGTAATTTATCAGAATAGTTGCAGATTAATTTCATGATCCTTTCAGCTCCTTATCATTTATTTGAGAGTTTCCAACTTATGGCATGAATTTATTCCATTTTGATACTTTTCCTGCATACTTAATGTCTGTGTGGGGCATTATGAAATACAACCACTAGGGGGCAGATGGGGTGGGGGGCCACAGAAGGTTCTCTTGAGAGCAACTGCTTTCCTACAGAACAAACAAACATGGCAACATTAGAGGAGATGGCTACAGTATATGACTAATTGCTCCTCACAATTTCACTGAGATCTATGCCTATGTAGTTGAGTCACACTGGTACAGACGCTGACATTAACTGTGAGTAGAGCTAATTCATTTGTTGGTCTTAGTTTCTGTATGAGTTGTTAATGTAGAAAGCGACTGACCTTGTCCTTTAAAAGTGCGTGTAAATAATGAAAATTTTAATATATTCTGTTTGCAGGCAGAAATAATTTGCCTACTCATTTTTTGCATTATTTATAGTTCTGTAACATATCGGTCCTATGCATTTAATCTCAGCAGTTGTTAAATTCCTTTTACTTTTGATTATTTAAAATTTTTATACCCTGAAGGTGTGCTGAAGAAATGTTGGAATGGTTTAAAAAAAAAAAAAATAGATGCAGCCCAAAACAATAATTAGTTTTGGGCTATCCAATTATTGGACAGGTAGCCATTTATTTTTCATTTATGTTTTCCAGAGAATTAATTCCAATAACTGTGGTGAGCCCCTGACTTTTTCCTCTGTGCACCATCTTAAATGCATCCAGTACCTTGGTGCATGACCAAATGCTTGCAGGACTAATGATGTCCCCATCAACCTCATCTGTATAGTCTGCTAATTAGCATGCTAACATGCTAAAGTAAGATGGTGAACACTGTTGCCATGTAGCCGTACAGCCTCACACAACAGGCAGGGAGACGAGCCTGGACCGTAGCAGGCGGCTGTGAATAAGCAGGAGACGGTGTTGTTCTCTAGTCCACTGGTCTCTAATCTCCTAACGTCTTTGTCATGGAGGAGAGCACGCTCCCCCCGAATGTCCCAAATCTTCTTTTGCTGGACTGATCCCACAGTCCATTTTCCCATGGGCTGGCAGCTGCTTGCTGACCCACTTTTCCTTTTGGATTAAAGGCGCATTTCACATTTTCACATCTTTATCAAACTGTAATAGATGTCACCATAATTCTATCAGCATTATCATTTAGAGCAACTATGGAGTATTTTCAGATATGCCCATTTATGTTGACAGGTCATAGAGCAATAGGAGTGTCTTTTAACCTTCATAAGAAATCTACTGTGCTACTCTTACATGATTTGGACTGTAGCAGAGAGCTTTGAGCCAAGCTGAGCTGAAAGGAACCATAATGGGGGAGATGGAAAAGAATACCTCCAGAGAAACGGAGTTCCACTGTGCCAAAAGTTCAGGCAATGTGGCATCAATTCCCTTTCCCAAGAACTAAAGCTCTTGTTTGACACAAGTTGTGGCTTTAAACAGCGGTTTATCACGTCCTGTGCCAGTTTCTTGCCCATAATGTTCCTTCTGCTATAATTGTTGTCCTACTTTTTTAATCTATGCCCAGTATTTTAGCCCTCCCACTTTCACTTCACTGTAGTCATTTGTCAAATTCCTGTATTTGTGTTTTCTTATAGAGCAGGGGTTTTCAACCAGTGGTCCGTAGACCCCTGGTAGTCTGTGAAGGCATTCTAGGTGGTCCCTGGCCATGCATTCAAAAATGGGCTATAGTTTCACTAAGAATCAGTTTTTAAAAAAACACATTTACATGCATTACTTATGGTTTGCAAATAATCTAATTCATGCAAATAAACATAACAAAGGTGATTTTCAGGATTAAAACAGTGCCCATACAGTTTTCATGCCATAACATTTAGAAAAACAAAGGTGATTTTCAGGATTAAAACGGTGCCCATACAGTTTTCATGCCATAACAAATGGATTATTAGTGAGAATGGTGAATAAGACCTGTTTTCAGACTTTATTTATGCACAGACATGCAAGGAATTTAACTTGATACACCACAGTGTCCTCAGTATGCTACACAGAATAGTCAGAAAGAAGAGTAAAAGAATATGCAATCAGAGTAAAAACAACTTTAAGATAACAATCAGCGTACCCAAGAGGTATCCACCCTGCTGTATCGAATCAACTGTTAAACACTCAGATCTAGGTTAACTGTTCATAAGACTGACAGTACAGGGGAAGAAACTTTCTCTCTGTCCAGATGTTTTGGCATACGACACTGTAACACCGTCCCGAAGGGAGGAGTTCAAACCGTTTATAACCCTGTTGTGAAGGGTCCGCAGAGATCTTCTCTGTCCTCCTCTTGGCCCATGAGGTGTACAGGTCCTCCATGGAGGGCAGGTTTGCCCCGATCACATGTTCTGAAGTCCTGACTGTTCTCTGTTCCTGTCCTGTGTGGTTGCTGAGCCAAATCAGACAGTGATGGACATGTAGAGAACAGACTCTGATTCCTCTATAGAACAGTATCAGCAGCTTGGGGCAGGTTGAACTTCCTGAGTTGGTACAGAAAGTACATCCTCTGCTGTATCATTTGTGTACTTTAGGATTTTAACAGAAGTGTCTCCAGAGATTCGTTTATTGGTGTAGAGCTGGGGTGGCCTATTCCAGTCCTTGTGGGCTGCTGTCCTGCTTGTTTTCCAACTATCCCTGCCTGACCTGCTGCTGATTACCTGGCTCAGGTGTGTTCAGTCAGTCAGAAGCTAGAAGATACCAATTCACTTTATCTTTCCTCACTCCACTTTTGTCTAAAATGGTAATCAGCAGCAGGTCAGGCAGGGATAGTTGGAAAACAAGCAGGACAGCGGCCCTCGAGGACTGGAATTGGCCACCCCTGATGTAGAGCAACGGACAAAGCACACATGCCTGAGGGCCACCTGTGCTTGCTGACCGGGTGCTGGATGTGATTTTTTTCCCAACCTCACCTACTGCATCCTATCTGTTAGGAAGCCAATTATCCACTGACAGCTGTGAGCTGGCACAGTGATCTGGGAGAATATCCAGGACAGTGGTGTTGGTCACTGAGCTGAAGCCTACAAAGAGTCCCCGGGGAGTTGGGGTGTTTCAGGATGTGATGCAGTGCTGTATTAACTGCATCATCTACCGACCTATAAGCCCAATAGTCAAACTGCAGGGGATCAAGCAGTGTAAGGCTCCTCAGATGCATCTACACCAGACTCTCAAAAACCTTTATTACAAGGTGACAGGTCTGTAGCCATTTAGATCGCTGATGGGTTCTTTCTTCTGAACTGGGATGATAAAGGAACTTTTAAAGCAGGTGGGAACCATGCACTGCTCCAACAAGATCCAGATAAAAATTAGGGCCAGCTCAGCAACACAGGCTTTCAGGCAGGACGGTGTCACATGACCTGGAAGGCCTGCCTTCCTGGACTTTTGTCTCATAAAGCGGCCTCTCACTTCACCGTCAGTGATCCTCAGGGGTGGTGGTCTTGGGGGGTGGCAGACTTTGGTGTCTCTACTGCCACATGTGAAACTCATTGAAGATTGATTTCATGGACCACAGACGTGCCATGCTTCCTGCCCAAAAGGAAACTTGTGCAGTTGGGCTTTGAAAAGGATTGAATGTGCAAAGTGTTGCAGTGAGGAAATGATCATGAGAAGAGTTACAACTCGTTGAATTCGGTTGTTCTACAAGTAGGCTACGTTCAGTGCTTTATTATTGGCTACTGCATCGTGTAGTTTGACTGTGTGTTTTGATAAATGTAACGTGCAATGGATGCACAGTGATGTCTACGTAGCCTCTCTTTTACTGTTAACTGTGTGGATGCGTTTGTTATTGTTACATGTGTGAAAGGTCTTAGTTTACATTAGTAAGCAACATT